GATTTACGTGAATGTGTGCACACAAATTACCATGGCCAGTCATAATATCAGTGCTGTTCACCACATACCCCAATCGAGCGTTGGCCGGCTTCGATGAATGTTGTCCCGGTCAGCTGATGCTGGCATTTCTGCCCCTGCAGCTGGCTCCGGTGCAGTTTCAGTCAACAATCGGCAACTCCAAACATTTTGCCCACCTCACATCCGTGGGTTCCAAACGAACTCCGTTAATCCACAGTGTAACAGGTCCACGTCGTCTCGATGAATGGTTATCCAAATCGAAGCAGTTTTCGACCTAAAGTGTCTCTTTAGGTCGAAAACTCTTCACCAGAGGGTAGTGTCGAACTATGCGTTGTCACGTCTTCCATGCAAGCATGACGTTGATGAAAGCACAGATGAGAATGAAGCCTTCTGTGAGTCCCATGTTGAGCAGTTGCCCGTGTCTGCCAAAGACATAGCAGAAGAGACTAGACTTGACCCAATCCTCTCTAAGATCCTGGATCTGACATTGTCTGGATGGCCAAGGTTTGTGCCCAATCCAGAGCTCAAGCCATTTCAGTAGACTGTAATGACCAAGGTAAGTACTGTTTGTACTACCTTGGTCAAGGGTAATTATACCGCCGAAGTTCAGGCAGCGTCTTCTGTCAGATGTGCATGAGGGACATCCAGGAATGACACGGATGAAGGCATTAGCCAGAAGTTTCCTGTGGTGGCCTGCACTAGACCAAGAGATAGAGAATCACATGAGTCAGTGTGCAGCGTGTGAGACTACACTGAACAGACCTGCTGCAGCAGCTCTTCATCCTTGGTCATGGGCTACAACACCGTGGGAAAGAATACATGTGGACTTCGCTGAAATCAACAAGCCGCACTACCTGGTGGTAGTAGATGTCTATTCCAAATGGCTAGAAGTCCTGCCTACACAACTAACAACCGCAGAGAAGACTGCTAATCTTCTCAGGAACCTCTTTGCGTCATATGGTCTGCCAAAGGTGCTTGTGTCAGACAATGGCCCTCCCTTTACATCGACGGAGTTTGAGCAGTTTCTCAAGAATAACGGAGTACGCCATGTTCTCACACCACCTTACCATCCTGCGTCTAACGGAGCAGCGGAACGAGCGGTACAGACTTTCAAGAAAGCCTGGACGCGTCTGGAAGCACAGTCTGTGTCACCCCATCTACGGCTTGCTCGGTTCTTGTTCACATATCGAAACACTCCTCACACAGTCACTGAACGCACCCCGGCTGAATTGTTCCTGAAAAGACAACCTCGCCTGTCATTACTGAAGCCGGACATATCCGAAGTGGTGGTCAAGCATCAGCTACAACAGAAAAAGGCTCATGACAAGCGGGCAAAGCCTCTCCGGACTGAATCTCTAAATGTTCATGTAGAGATAATGACGTATTTAGTCAGTAACTATGTTCAGACTGCTTACTGTTATGTTTATGAAGTTTAGGGTATGTTACTGTTAATTGAACCCTGCATATGTAGTTTAAGGAATGACTAATGCAATGAAGTATGTAGTCTGGCTATATATGTTATAATCTAGGAGGGAGGAGTGTAGTAGTTCACATATACTACGGTAATGTTGGCCATAGTATTAAGGTAATTACGGTATCTGTATGAGCCACTTCACTATAGTTATAAGTAAACGGCAAACAGACGCATCTTCTCCCTGTCTCCGTGTGCCCTTCCTTCACCTACAAATATTACAACCACAAAGGCACACACGCACACTGGCATAGTCGAAAACTGTTTGCTTCCCAAATTAGCAACACCTGTGTCTGGGATTTCTGCAGATTAAATGGCCTACCTGGGCTGATCCGAGGTCGGCTGAGCCACAAAGCACATACAGCCCCCTAGTGGCACAGAGCAAAATTAAATGAAATAATACCGAATGAATATGGCTCCTACACTCGCGTTACTCTCTTTTGTGACGCGAAGCGGAGGGCCGGCAAATAGTAAGTAAATAGCTGCCTGTCAGCACAAAATAGTTGTGTCCACCAAACGTTGTGTGCCACAGAATAGTCGCCGTACGTGCACGTAAACAGCATCGCGTCGCTCATGATGAAAGACCGCAGGCCCGCGGATTCTGCATGTTATAGTCGTATACTATAGTATACGACTATAACAGTGATATATTCTCCACGTATACGTGGGTTATCTAAATCGATACAAATGCACGGAGACGAGGATGCAGTACAAGTTAGGTAATTCACTGGCGCTGAAATCACACAACCGGCAGGCATGAACAAACAATCACAGAAGTCCGTCGTAGTGACAGTCAAACACAATGGTGGTACATTGGATCGAGCACTGAGTGCTCACCAAACAACCAAGGCTCCACTTTACACGGACTGCAGTGCAGCCGATAAACCGGGCAGAGCTGAATAGATTGATGGCTCGTATGTTGAAGATGAGATGCATCCTGTCAACTGTCGAGTCAGTTGCCTCTGTAAACGTATTCGCTGCATAGACATCCTATTTACCCCAAAGAGTCCCGAAGTTAGGAACAGAAGAACATTTTCAAACAGACACAACCGCGGGAGAAACTAAGGAGGAGCAAAGACTAAGGTATGTTAATGACATGTGGTTCAATTAAGTACTCACTCTCTTAAACTTTAAATCTTGAAAGAAATTATTATTTGTGTTTGTGCGTGTGATTTTGAGTGGTGAATGTAAACTCAGCTGTCATAACAAGCAGCAGGAGAGCACCTTGTTAACCTCTTGGTATACTGCATGCTCAAAACATCATAGCATTGTTTATTAAGTCTGCTCACATAGCGTTTATCTTTTTATTTACAGGCCAAAGAAAAAGACCCTCTCAAGAATTTTCCAAACAGCTCTTTGAACAGGTAAGATGTATTCCAAAGAATTTAACATAAAGACAGGAAATCTGTGCAATAGAATTAGGCATGTTTTTGTAAATGAGCGTAGAGTTACCATTTAAAAACCATTTTAATTCTTTAAGGGAGCAAAGATGTCTCATAAAAGACCTTTGCCAGGCCCAGGAAAAAAAGGGAAATCTGTTATAATATAATATATAACAATTTCATTCAAAACAATTTTATAACAGCTTCTGATCTCCTTCTTAATACCTAATTTTTTGTTATTTTATTTATGTGTATTTATATTATGTGCATCCATTGGTTTGCTTTGAAAGGCTACTGTTTAAGCCCTTTATTTGTTGCACTTTTTTGTTTGATAATGAAAAATATTTTTCCCTAACTAAACTTGTCATTTTTTGCTGAACATAAATCATTAAGTGCTCTTCAGAATACAATTATTAACAATATAGGTTAGGTTTTAGTTAAGAATTAGTTGAATACCATTGTAATCAAAATGTCAATCAACCTAAATTGGTCAAATCTTGTGTGGCTGCGTGCGCGGCAAAATTTTGGTTACCCCCGACAAAATCTCACTCCAAGGTTTTTTGAAAAGTTGGCAGCTCTGGTAATTTGTTTTTCCAATGGCAGGCGATCTACTGGCACTGCCTTGGCGACTGGCCAGTCAATCACGATTGACCTGGTGTACACTGTTAAATGTCTTCTCTTTCACAGGTGATGATATACTTGATTCTATGCATGCAGAAGGGTACATACACTGTTCAGTTTAACATCCTGACTATGGAAATGTTGAATGGTGCTCTCAATAATTGAATGTTTATTTGTGATTGACACTGACGAGCCACCTGTCTGTGGGCATGGTTAATAAATAAATGTCCACGCAGCTGATTGTTGTTGCAGTGTGAGTGCCATGATAAGCAGCAGAACATCTCTCGTCTTTTCTCCCCCCCCAAGTATTCTTCAACATCTACGTCAAAAAGCACAACTCTGCTGTGCCTTTGCACGTAAATAGGTGCCAGTAGTCATCTACATTACGTATCAAACATGGACGTACGCCGAAAGATAAAGCGGAAGGAAGGATCCAATGGAGAGGGACGGGACGGCGCAGCCGGAGCCTGGAACTCCACGGAGCAAAAAGAGCAGGTAAAGCAAATGGCCGCGAGGATGGCTGCCGAGGCTGGCTTTGGACGCTCGGACCGCTCTGTTGGTGGATTTAACAGCCTTAGAGGAATAGACATGACTACGCACGCTGAGCCACGCGGGGGCGCTGTTCCACCAACAATAAAGACCCCCAGGTATGACGGTAAAGCTGACTGGGTAGCTTTTCATGCTTAATTTGAACTGCTAGCTCAAGCCAGTGGATGGTCCACGGAATTAAAAGCCCTTCAACTAGCGATGTGCATCACGGGTGATGCTTTGTCCTGCCTGCTGCTGCTGAGTCCTGTCGATAGGAGTGATTATGATGCACTAATTGGGGCTCTAAAGCGACGTTTTGGACAATGCTCTGCTGCTAGCCTGCTCTGAACTGTGCAGCAGACAGAGGCAACCGGTGGAACCACTGAGAGCGCTAGCTAATGACATCGAGGGGCTTGTTCAACGCACCTACGCGCACATGCCCCCTTCCATCCAAAGCGAGGTGGCAAGAGACCATTTTCTCCGGGCCCTACTGCCAGCCGACCTGCCCATTCAGACACTACTGGCTCACCCTGGGTCCCTCCAGGATGCTCTGGAGTCTGCAACAGAGAGAGAGATGCTGTGTGCTAAGACCTTTGACAAGGAAGTTCCCCAACAGGGAGAGCTGCTGGTGGGGTTGAGGACAAGGTGCAGCCTGCCTGGGTGGGGGAGCTGACCCAGCTTGTGAGGGCTGCCACCCTTGATGAGCGGCAGGCCAGGCCGCGCCCAAGGGTCTGCTGGGGTTGTGGGCAGCCTGGACACCTGATCAGGCACTGCCCCCGTAATGCCGCAGACCAGGGAAACGGGACGGGGACCACATAATCGGAAAAGTGCGGATCCCTAACACCCTTTCCCGACCCCCGTCAAGTAAAAAGGCTTCAGAAATCTCTGTCAGAGTTGGAGCACCGCCACCGGTGAAGGATTTTGATGCCTTATAAAATAGTTAAAACGGCAAGGAATTAATCCACAAGAAGATACTGAGCTAACCTGAGATTAATACTTTATTTTGCATCAGAAAGTTGCAGACCCAGATGTTGTCCTTCTGGAACATGTGCTGTGTCAATTTTTGTCACATTTACAGTGAATACGCTCAAAAGTGCAGAGACCCATGGACATGTGCGGGCATGATTATTTGCTTAGAGTCTGCGGGACTTCCTGTCAATTACACTCAGAGCAGACTGAGCTTTTTTGGTAGGGGACCCAAATGACTGTTGCTGAACCATATCTTCTCAGACGGAAGGTAAATACAGACATATATAAGCAGACGGTATGAGAAAAATTAAATATTTAACAATACGGCAAGCTAACATGATGTTGTAGAAAAGCTTAACACATTTATGAACCAAAAAAAATGCACATTATGTGACCTTTAACAAAAGTTCAATGGCAATGGGAATAATCATGACTGCACATTCAAAGCCAACCCAAAGACAAATCAACTATACTGTTATGTCTGTTGAAGACTTACGGTTGTTTGGATCAATTATTTCCCAATCTACAACATTGTTAAATAATAAAATGTGATTTTTTAAGTGGTAGACAAAATACGATATTTTACGTCTTTTTAAATGTAAATAGTCCATATGACAATTCATCATAATTAGAATAATTGAATAATAAACAGGACAGAAAAGGGTACTGCTGACAACAGGTGTGTTATTTGTATTTTTAAATGAATAGTATGAAGGAGGAGGCATCTCTTCATGAAGTGACCTAGATGCTGCTGCAGTGATGACTCCATCTGAATCCATTATTCGACACCTTTCATGAACTCAAGGAACTCTGTCAGAGAGAACACACAAGTCAATATACTGTATATATGAGCATGACATATGATTAGAATTGCCAAAGCCATGTGTCATGTGTTGTATCACATCTTGAGACTGAGAGAGAGATGATCATATCATCCTGACCAGACCACCGCCATTTCATTTTCACCTGTTTCGACAAGTAGCCTCTGCTCAAGGCTATTGAAAAGGTTTAGTATGATTAGTCACATTACATCCATTTTATGATCTTTACATTGGCTTTCCATTTCATTCAGGATTCACTTTTACGGCTTACAACCTTGGCCAGCCTTTTGTGGATAGTTTTGCAAAAAAGGGATTTCCTAGAGCCAAATCCAGGTCAAAACTTTCGATCATTTGAAAACCAAATGTGAACCTGAAGATTTGTTTTAAAAAATACAACAATGTATTCAAAATAAAAATAAGCAGATGAAAAGTATTTTTCTAATTTGTTCGTATTATAAAAGCAATAAGGTATTTGGGGCTGTACTTTATTGTCGACAATGTTAGAGTTCAAGGGTGTTAGCCTGACGTGTAGCGGAACACAGCCTCTCGTACCTTATTGCTTTATTAGAGTACCACCTTTTGTCACAAGTTGACAGCAAACAATGTATTACGTTGTTCAGTTTGGAGGATTTGGTTTGTACCAAAATTAATTGTTGAATCTTTAAATTTGAACACGGAAGGACACACTTTGTATCCATTTTTTTACTAATGTGCTAGCTCCCGTACCATCATAGTCAATTTTTCCATCATTATTTTTGTCCCCATCCTTCATCAGCTCCTCAATGTCATCTTCTGTGATGGCCTCTCCAGTGGACTCCAACATGGTCTTCAGCTCTTCTAAGTCTATGTAGCCATCTCCATTCCTCAACACAAGATTAAGAAAATTTGTTTTATACTCATCTGAAAAATCTTTCGATCCTCTCGAACACCAAGCTCTTCTTACTGTAGTATTTGTTCTGAATAATATCATGCGATTGGCGCACCTTGTATGGTAGCCCCTGCCATCAGTGTGTGAATAGGGGACAGAGGACAAGTGTTAGAACCTTTTGAGTGGTCAGAAGATGAGGAAAGCGCTACACAAGTAAAGTATATTTACCTTGAACTTGAAATGTGTATTTTTAAATGTTTAAGTAGCTGTGAGTAGTGTGAAAAAAAACTAGAAACCTACTTGTCAAACATACGGAACAGTTCAGCCAATTCTTCTTCTGATTTTCCTTTGCTCTCCTCCTTCATGCAGCGGACCATCATAACCAAGAATTCATCAAAATCAACTGTACCACTTCCTGTGAATACATAGCGCATATCTTTATTTCATATTTGCTGTTTTTAGACCTTCCAAAGACCATTTTCCTTTCCTTAAATATGCACTAAAGTTGATTTAATATTGTTAAAATAATTGTATTCCATTATATGACAAAACATGCTCCCGATGTGACCGGCTGACATACCATCCTCATCCACTTCATCAATCATCTCCTGTAGCTCTTCAGGGGTGGGATTCTGTCCCAGCATTCTCATTACCTTCCCCAACTCTTTGGTGCTGATGGCTGCATCTTCCGCATCCTGGATAAAGATGTCAAATGCAGCCTTGAACTCTAGAAGAGACAGGGATTTCAGTTACTGCTAACAACAAACACAGGAATCAATGTTCTGAAATAAAACCGTGACAAAGAAATCTGTGATTCTGAACATCTCTGTTCATTGTTCCAATTTCTGGTAAAAAATTATTATATAGTGCCACCCTCAAAAAAATGAATTATGTACAAACAATTGTTTGATTGTATGAATTTAAAACATTTGTGTTTTGGACAAACAAACAAAAAAATACATTTGATTTCCCAATTTGTCCACGCCAGCATTCAAAAATACAAATAATGTATTCAAAATAGCGGCTCATTTAGGAATGCAACCTTTGCAAGCAGATGCCTTTTATTGCCATGGAACCACATTTAGTCGCTGGTTCCCTCAGTGTTCTTAAAAAAGCTGAAAGAAAAAAACGCTGTGAAATGTACCTCATTCACACACAAATTCATACCCCAAAAGTTCCTTGAAAAAGGTTTTTCATCGGCCTTTTTCATTGTTTCACAACATTGTAAAAATAAAAATGACATTGTTAGCAGTAGTAGTTATACTTGTAGTTAAGTGACATAAGTATTATCAGGTTAGTTATATGATGGTAAATATAGAACATATATGTTATAAAGAATAAATAGTTACAGTAGCTGTTTCCTCACCATTTTTCTGTTCCTCTGTCAAGTTCTCAACCTGAAGGGAAACAAATTCAGGATGTGCATTTCTAAATATTTATTACAACTGTACAAATGGAGTAGAACATCAGGTCTGCAACTGTACTGATACTCTCTAGAACAGTGCAGAATGACCGCACTATCAGACTGCTTTCCTCACGTTCTATTCTTGTTGTTTGGCAGAATACAAAAGGGGGGTTTTGAATACCAGTGACTATGTATGTCGTTTTTATTAGCCATCAGCTGTCTTCTCCCTTCTACCCCTGAACTGTGTAGTGGTTGTTTGTTTTATTGTCAGGCACAGGCATGGGAACTTACCACAACAGCTGGTTACTCCGTGTTTTGTCAGAGCTTACCACACCTGTTTTTTCAATATTGTCGTCAAGTTTAAAAGAAACACGCAGTCTCTTGTTTTTGTTCAGCATAATTCAGCACAGTATACTTTATGCAATAATCTAAACTTTATACAATATAATTGTATGTATTATATTAAAAAGTAGTCGTCATAGTATAGACACACTATAAACTGCCAGTGATCATTGCAAAAAAACAGTGATAACTGCAGTCAGATTCATATGAAGGACCTCACAAATAACATGAGATATTACATTAATTTCAATTTTTCATTATTTGGATATATTCATTTTTGAGTTATGTTTTGAAATTTGCTATTTGTCCAGCATACCGTTGTTGAAGTTATCTCGATACTGAAAGAGTCTTGTAAATATATACAATACATATAATATAACTCTTTTAAAGATTCTAGAATTCTATATTTATTGGTTTATTAAAGCATTTGTATTTTTTACACCCAAAGAAAGTACTAAAATTGTTAATATTTCAATGTTTTTTTTATATAGCATTCATCTGTCAAATGCCATGAATGCCGTGAATTAAACCCCAAGTTGTTTCAGAAAGAACCAATAAATCCAAAAGTAATGCACCAGCAGACGCTTTAACAGTATTGAGCATTTACAGTCGCAACAAGTTTTTTTAGTGTTGATATTGCCTTCAACGTTTTGTAGTTTGTTGGTATTTAATTTAGGAATTACAGGAGCAGCTGTTATTGTTAGCAGCTGTCCCAATGGCGTAAAAATCTCATCAGGCAAAAACAACTAATCTAGTATAGAAACGTATTTCTATCTTTCTCATAAAGAAAGACATGATCTATTCCAGGATTATCTGACTTAGAATCGTTCACTTCAACTTGAATCATAACCAGAAAGAGAAATTTAAGTGTTATCTGTACTCACCGCTGCTTTATATACGTCATCCATGGCTACTTGTCTGTCCCTGCCTCTGACAAACCACTGAAGTCACTGCTGCATACAGACACTGCACAAATACTCCAAGCAATAGCTGCCCCAGTCTTTATTGTTGGAAGTGTGTGGCACCGAAAAAGCTCATGACCCATCAAGGGTGATCGAGGGAGGAGTAACAGTGAGATAAAGAGAGATCTAGAAATAGGAAACAGAAGCTACCCAACAAAAGATTGACAGCAATGCTCTGCTTGATACAGGCTGTCTCAGTGTTCAGTTAAGTTCAATTTGATGGACCTCCAGGTGTCTCCAGTTTTTTTTTTTGTTTAAGTTTAGATTAGTAAGTCCAAAAGAAGGCCTCAGTGATTAAAATGAGATACAATAAAGTAGACAGTAAAACCATCACATTTAAAAGCTTTCACACTGGTGAGAGTGTGAAAGCTTTCGTGTCATTGAGTGATGAGTTGAATATTCCTAGTTCCTTAAACTAAACATTTTAGAGGAACAACACAAGTAACGTAGCGCTAGCTAGCATGATGCTAAATATGGCGCTAGCTAGAGCTAGGGTTGCCACCTTCAATAGAGAAAAATAAGGGAGGCTATAGCCCAACGGGGGGTGGACGATTTGGCCGACAGGCGGGTGGCGGTGCCGACGTTACGGGATGGGGGCACTCTCGTTGCTTCAGAGCCATCTGTAGCTGCCGCCGCCATTCTTTCAGTAGTATTACCCAATCACGGGAAGTATAGGACGAGTCTTTCGGATGGGATTATTTGCATGGAATGCTGCATTGACGACAACTTGGCAAATACGGGACAACCCCGTCCCGTATTGATTTAAAGCGGGACACGCTAACGTTATTTTATTCTCAAATAGGGACAGATCGGAACCACAGCGCGAAGCCATGCTCTCCACAGTCCACAGATGCTCTGTATGGCACTGCACTTTACAGCAAGCGGCATGTTTTTATATGTCGAAACTGTAAATAAGGCACTACTTTCTGTACGTCAGAAGTGTGTGTTTGCCACTGAAGTCCTTGGCACACATATTTATTACCTTCCCTGGCCACAGAAGAATATGTTACATCAAAAAGGATTTCCACAACACAGTCCACATTTGCCTGTAAAATGGGTGATTGTGTTTGATGTGCAGTACTGGAAAATGTACCATGTATGAAGCGGGCAGTTTCTGCAGGTGGAACAGTCAGTAGCTGTCCCACCCTGAATCCCTTCCATCACAAGTCTTCCTTGGTTTAAAACAAGGGCCAATTCCTCAGCTGGGGTGGAGCCTTCTTCTTAACTGGCTGCCTCGGTACGACGGTGCTGTTTGTTTCTTGTTATTTTTGTTGTTAATTCTGTTTTCTGTTGGGATCTGTCGGGATCTCCGATCCCCCCGAGTTGGTTGATGAGAAGGATCGCAACACGTTGATCAATTAAAGTAAAAAAGTTAACATTTATTTAGAAGAGAAAAATATCACATGAGCAATTCTCCGCAGATATCAGGCTCTAACTATTGCTTGCAAGCAGGAGGTCAAACACACCAGCACGTATCTCAGTGCTCGGTGTAATGGCGTCTCCGAGCAGTAAAAATGCTGAGTTTTTATACACATGTGAAGGACATTCTCTGTGCCAGTTACGAGAAGCTGCAAAACAGGTTGAGATAAGAACCCAGGTGAAGCTGAGGGTAGCACACACACACACAAGATCCTCCTCAGTGGCCGGTGCAAATCATAATTAATTGACATAAAGTAAAAACGTGGATCCGGAACTTTCGTACCGAATAAGATATGAAGGCCATGAACAGAAGTCCTTTGTTTTAAAGCGTCTATGAGATCGAGTTGACCGCACTCCCTCCTCAGGACACAGCTGCAAAGCAACATTTTGTATCATGCTGCTCTTTGCACGTCAGGGTCAAATACAGGACACTTGAGACACGGCTTTAGCACAAGACAATGTTATAATATATTTTACCAGTGCATGCATCTCACAGATCCCTGGAGCTCTTTCTCCAGAGTTGAGCTCATGAACTCCAGCGGAGTTACTTCCAACTTTTCTTCTGTGGAATAACTGGACATTCTAGTCAAAGGTGCGCTCACCTTTACTCACACGGTGAGGCGCCATAGGAGAAGAGAACGGGCCAGCTCCTTAGTGTGACTCCGCAAGCATGGTTCTCGCATCCCACTGCCAGGCATCTCACTGTGCAAGAAACTGGACGAACTTTAGCTACTGGTGAGGACAGACAGAGACTTTTCGGCATCCTCCATTTTGTGCTTCACGGAGGCCTGGCTCTGTGGATCGATACCGGACTCTGTGCTTCAGCTGCTCAGAGCGGACCGCGACATGGAGCTTTCCGGCAAGACGAGGGGTGGTGGAATCTCCTTCTACTCCAACAGCAGCAGGTGCAATGATGTAACAGTTATCCTACAACACTGTTCTCCTGGGGTCCGTTTCAAGTTGCGGGTTTAGTGAAAACTGATGACGTCACGTATACATATGTATCACGTTTACAACTCAAAAACATAATGGTCAACAGTATAAGAATGCCCCCATGAGCAACTGCCATTGGCAAACACCAACAGCTACACACAGGTGCGTGCCTTCAAATCCTAGGGGTCAGAAGCGGGTTTAGTGTAAATTCAGAGTTTGTTAACCCTGAGATGAGGGAAACTCTGGGTTGTCTGTTTCAGAAAGGGAGGTAACTAAAGCTCAGGGTCAGTCACTACGGTAACTGAGCCTGTGAACCTAACCTGGTCGGGAGGCGGTTTTGTTCAATAAACCTGGAGTTTCTTTCAGTCTCCTCCCTCTCACAGCAGCCCAGCCAATGACACAGCGCGCTTTCATTTCCTCATTCATTCAAATCCCTCTGTATCAGGTGTATTTTAGCACAGTTTCCATATATGAACAAAATAAGACCTCTGTTACTTTAAAGACTAAATTACATTATTACATTAGATTACATGTCATTTAGCTGACGCTTTTATCCAAAGCAACTTACAATGGTTGGGATAAAAAGAGCAAGAAACAAGTGCAATTTCATCTTTTAAGCCAATTTACAATTTCGTATAGATAGGTGCCATTATTAGTACAATTTAAGTGCTACAGTTTGTTAGTATTTTAAGTCTGAAGAGGACTCTGCGGTCCGGATGTCTTCAGAGAGCTCGTTCCACCATTTTGGAGCAAGGACAGGAAAGATTCGTGATCTATTTGAGTGTTTTGCTCTCAGTGAGGTAGGGACAAGCAGTTTAGCAGATGCTGAGTGGAGTGTGCGGTTTGGGATGTAGGGTTTGACCATGTCCTGGATGTAGACTGGACCCGATCCATTCACAGCATGGTATGTGAGCACCAATGTTTTGAATTGGATACGGGCAGGTCACCACAGCCTTTCCAAACTCACATTTTGCCAGGTTCAAAGTCAGCGATGCTTGAGCTAGCTTGGCAAACACAGTTGTTAGGGTATTTGTGTGGTCAGTCCAGCAGGAGAAGTACACAACTACATCATCCAAGTACATGTTACAGTTGCGAATGTCAGCCAGTACAAGGTTCATGAGTCTCTGAAAAGTGGCTGGGACATTGCGCATCCCAAAAGGCATTACTGTGTACTGCAAAAAATCATCAGGTGAGCCAAAAGCAGAGATGTCAGAAGCTCTGGACGTAGGAGGGACCTGCCAGTATCCCTTCAGCAAGTCTAGCTTTGTGATGTAGGTAGCTGCACCTATACTGTCTACACAGTCCTCCATACGAGTCAACGGAAACGAGTCTGCTACGGTGACTGCATTCACCTTACGAAAGTCTGTGCAGAAACGCGGGGAACCATCTGACTTTGGGGTCAATAGGCAGGGGGAGCTCCACGTGCTCCGGCTGGGCTTTGCCAAGCCATGCTCCGGAGCAAGAGCAAGAGGTGAAGTACCTACCTCACCTCTTGCTTCATCAGCTCCCTTTTTGGCATAGGACAGCAGTAAGCATGTTGTTTAATTGGAGAGGTGTTACCAACTTCAACATGTTAGGGTCTCGGAAAGCTCTCGAGGGAGGCCTCACTCCTTTGTTCTCGTCCCGGCCGGAAACGAGGACACGAATGAGTCAATTTGTTTAAATTCAAAAATCAAAAGTTATTTAATAACTGAACAACGCTATAAGGAATGCAATTACAAAGTGAAATACTAAGCGAACAGTGGAATATTTCGCGAAATAGAGAATCCTCTGAGCAAGTCTAAAGTGACTTATCAAAACGGCTGCAGGGAATATTCTCCAGTCTTTTCCCCGCTTTGGTCCTTTGAAAACTCTTGAGGTGTGTCTTCCTTGGTGCATTTGAATGTCATTGGCTTCTTCTCCAAAGGGTCACCTCCTCCATTGTCCCTTTCACGTCGAGGTGTGAAGCTGCAGCTGTAACCTGAAACCTCTCTGTCCTATCTGTCCCTCACATTCCAATGCACTCAATGTAGATACATTTGGCTTTATGCCTCAATGAGTGAATTTAACAAAGCATACATCGTTTAAGTCTTCATCTTATAACTAGTACACCTTCATTACAACAACCCATCATTCATCATAACCGTTCATCACACTTCATCATAAGATCTAAGACAGTTCATGTGGTTCAATTCTCAAGACATTTGCCTCAGTCGGCTGCCATACATTAAGTTGTTCATTCACTACCTGACAGGAGAAAAAACTCCCAAAAAACCCTCTTTGGGGATAAAATTGGGAGAAATCCATAAAGAACGGCAATTGGCATCCGTCCCCAGGTTTTAACATCACATTGTGACAAAATGTTAATGTGTACAGTGTTTATAAGATTTAAATGACTATGAATTGTGTTTGATTGAAATTGCATTCACTTCATCTAACATGTTAATGTAATACCTAATATCTAACATCACACAAACTATAATTATAACACTAAACATTATTACACGTACTATAATTTCCTGACTAGGGGTGCACTTCTGGCTTAAATCCCTAACAAACATCGTGCTCCACCATCGTGGTACGTGAGCACACAGCTCCGAAAAGGGTCAGGTGAGACTGAATTAGCCCCCGCACATCCTTCTTTTGGGAATCTGGAAGATAGGAGAGGCAAGTAGATCAGCCAGTATGTTCGAGTTAGACAGCCTGCCGCACTGCTGGAGGTCGTCACGCAACCTCAACCCG